CCCTTGTTTCGCTTCGTTATTCGCATTTCTTTTTTCGTCATTACCTTGCCTTTGTTCATTCGCTGTTTTCTAATGAGGCACTGTTCACAGTTTTGAAATCATCGAATATTCAAATTTGCGAAAAGAATCACTCAATCACTCTACTGTATCATAGGGCTCTATTTCGAGATTCTCTTAACAACTAACACTGCGATTCATTCCTTCTGAGGTTACGCTCAGGTATTTTTTCGGGATATTTTTTGAAGGAACCACAGCAAAATACCCTCCCTCCCTGGCTTGGGAAATTTCTGAAGCAAAACATCTGAAATTTTTTGCATTATAGGGCCCTCGGGAATTTCAGTGCAACTGAACCTGGGAATTTTAAAGTTATGCTCAAATTTTCAAGATAGGAGAGGCAGCAAAAGGAAGTGCTGGCAAGTCATACCCTAGCAATTCATTTTTCATGGGTTAGTGCCTCACCCTTTGATGGCAAATCTCATTAAAAGAGGAGTGACGAGCGAGTGAACATAATCGTAAAGGGCTGCAAGTGTGGCGGTGAGTGGCGGCCTGATTAACGGGAATCCAATGAATCCAGCCACATATGTGGTAGTCGGAAGGGGTAATCAATTCTCGCGCTCACTATTTAGCACTAATGCCCTTATCACTTTGTCGCTGAAGGGGCGAGCAATGGCGCCAGCTTTGGCCACCGGATGCAGCCACCACACGTCCATCCAAACAAGGGGGAGCCACGTGTCGAGAAAGTTTGGCCAACCCGGGCTAATAGGAACCCTCCATGAATTGAGCCCCACAACTCTTTCCTACCTCAAACTCTTACTCGTGTGCTCTTCAATCCTACCAGAATCATGAAAGAAACTATACCTGATTTTTCTAAGAATTAAAAAATGAAAGAACTATGAAATTAAAAATGTTTCTCAAACAAGTACAACACAATCAAAGTAGAGAAAACTACGTCGATGGCGCTATTAGGTAGTCTGACTTCGATCCTCTTGTTTGTTTGTTTATTTGGCATCTATTCAGGGTTTATTTCACCTTTCCTACCCTATGTGTAAGAGCGCGTCATTGGAGGACATAACAAAAGTAATAAGTAGGTAAATAAATAATTAAATAAATAAATGAATGAAATAATAAAAACTCGCCACTTCCTTGAAAATCAAGAAAACAATGGAATTTTTTGAAAACATGCCCAGTCCATCGGAGTTGCTGGATTCCCAAGGGATTGAGGGTGGCCGCTTTCATAGTTCACGAATTCGGAAGTTAGGCTGGTAGGCGACAGAATACTGGGATAGTGACATATTAGATATTTAGCTGAAAAGGCATTTTTTACTTAAGACTATTGCACTGAACCCCAAGGCAAAAAAGATATCTTTGAAACTTGGGTTGAGGGGGTAGTCCGGTGGTTTGATCACAAATATGACAATCGCTTTTGACGCTGACGCCCGTTCGCGCCAGTTTGGCGCCACACCATTCCCCACCTCATTCGTTAAAAAAGCCTATGTGTATGGGGTATTTCGCGTCTTGGTGTTTTTTCACGTGCTTGTGCGGTGACTGCGATTATGACAGCGGCTGTAGGGAGTGTAAGGCGATGGCCATGTTGCGAATCGAGCGTTGCGCCAGCGAATCGAACGTTGCACCAGCGAATCGAACTTTGTGCCAGCGAGTCGAACTAGTACCAGCGACTCAATAGTGGGGGACCCAACGTCAAAGGAAGCCCGCCACTTTCAAACAGTGTCACGTGACAGTGGACGCTGTTTGAAAGTGGCGGGCTTCCTTTGAAAGTTGGGTCCCGCCACTATTGAGTCGCTGGTACCTAGTTCGACTCGCTGGTACATCGTTCGACTCGCTGGTGCAAAGTTCGATTCGCTGGCGCAACGCTCGATTCGCAAACTATGACATCGGCCTAAAAGGCGCCATCCAGTTGGACCAAGAGAGCGCCAACAAGCGCCAAGTGGCGCCAGCGTCCAAAACAAATGTCATATATATTATCGCATCAAAGAAAAAATTTTCCGACCCTTCTTGGGGTTGTGCTGTTTCAGGCGTCTGGGTTGTAACTGTGCAAAACTGCCAGTCCTTATCGTCAGCGTCGCGATTGCGACTCCGCTTCCACCACTCGAAGTGTGCTGACAGACACTCATTATTACATGGTTTGAAAGAACCTTGAAAACATTTTCTTCAACATCGCCACGTGACCAGTTCGGACGAGGCCGTATTGATCTTCTCTGCGAGGCGGTCATGGTAAACGTTTCGAACTCTGCTTTTATACAACTCTTACACGTGATTCAAAGTTACGAAATCCGTATTTCATATCAGCATTGGAAAACATTAAAGAATCATATACATTTTGAATTGCAAGCCTCAAAACAAACTGTCCCTTGATCTTCATCACCACCACCCGCGTATACGGTAGTTGCCGTGATCTACCGTCGATGCTTGCCGCCAAAAAAGGCGCGTTGCGCCGAAATCGAGGGACTGGCAAAAGTGGTAGAGCGTAGATATTGTGGAGAATGCAGACAAGTAAGGAGAGTGTGGACACTTGTGGAGAAGGCAGACGGCCAAACGAGGGATCGACGAAAATCCAGTCGATCGGTAGATCTAACCATTAATGCCTCATAAACACATACAGGGATTCAAGGCTCCAAAAAAAGCAAAAGCACTGGATGAACTCGGCGGTACTATGCCCAGATTTTGTTCAAACTGCGTCAGACTGGTGCCAAGATGGCGCCAGCAAAAGGACGTCTCCGAGACCAGAATGCCAACACACCACTTAAGTTCTAAGCGCGATCGGGATGGAAAAAAGGTGTCGGTGCCAAACTAGCTCCACAATGCCATCAAACGTTAAAGACGATTAATTGTCACTGAAATTACCTCCTGAGCCAACACTGAAAACTATTAATTGCAATCGCTGCTGGGTTAAACTGCAATACTGCACACCTTTTTGCAGAACTGTCTGCAGAAATTGAAACCGGATTTCAATGATACTAACAAGGAAAAGGGGGGCGTTTCCCTGGTATGGTGGCAGCTATTCCGCACTACTATACAGATATTCTGAGCAGAAAGACCACAGCCATATTCAAATCATTTTGCTATTAAACGCAATTTCGTTATATAACGCAATTTCTTTCTATTCACCTACGTGAATCACAAAGCAATGTCGAAAAAATGACAAATACTGAAAATTTACGAAGCCCAAGAATATTTAGAACGTGCGGAAAACACATGGATGGCACTGGGTGCCTAGCACACCAACAAAGTCACAGCGCGGTCAACATGTGGACGCCAAAGTGCGGGAAGTATGTGTCACCGCGCTAGTCAACATGTTTTTTGATTAACCCATTGGCGACATTGCGGGTCGATGTTGGGACGCACTTTTTTTGCCACGACGGACAATGCGGGTCGATGTTGGGATGCAGCATTGAGATAACTCTTCTCCGCAGGATTTCCAGAAGTGTTCCTATAGCATACTAATCAGGAAGGCGTTGTCATACTTACGGTATTAATGGTCAGTGCATATCTTCCTTAGTTGATGTTTTACACGAGCGGTACTTGAAAGTGATTTTCCAAGGCAAAGCTTGTTATTTTTGAATGCATCCGGCTGGGCTTTTCGCCTGGAGTCAGCTAGAGTAATGCTACAACATTTCACAAAGAGAGATCTGGATCCGACCCCATTTACGGGTTTTAAAGTGGAGATTTGAAGTTTTTTCTGGCATGCTCCAATATACACCCTCGGCAAAACCTAAAGATTTACGCTCATTTTGGAAGCGGTCTGCAATCATACGAAACTTGCAAAGTTCTAACAGTTCATGCTTCAAGATTCAACATTTTTGGTGCAGGTGGATAGCCGCATTATGACACATTTTTCGAAAATGTCAAAAAAGGCGCGGTCCGACGCGGCAGACAAGCGAAAAATCGCATTGTCGCCAATGGGTTAACACTACAGAGTAACGAAACACTACGTGAATAACTTTATCAGTATCTATTAATAAATATGGAGATCACAACTCAACAATTAATACCCGGAAAAATAACAAAGTCTCTTTTAAGATACTGTGTCTGAAACACATAACAACGGGAACAAATGACCCAAATCCCCCTATGTTCTTTTGCAGAATCAACCGATATATCTCCGTGTTCCCATCCATAGTGATCTGAATGCAAAAGTTAACTGTAAAGGTTAGATGAGGAGGAAAGGATATCCTCTCACATGCAGTCTGGCGTCTTCTCCCTTTAGGATAGCATTATGTACTGCTTGGATGCTGTTGTATGAAGCACCGCGCCGCTGGAAAAATCTACTTTGGGGGGAAAATGTACAAAGATGACTACACCTCGCAAAACGAAGCAAGTTTAATGCAAATCTGAGAGCAACTGAAAAATCCTCAACGTAAATTTACATACCCTGAGTTAAAGCCAAGATATCAACTAACCAAAAAACCAAACGTCAATAATAACAGTAAAGCTAGAAATAACCAAGTAAGAGAAAGCAACGAAGAAGTAGAGCATCAAATTTGCAACTTCCTAACTAATTAATGAAAAAGAAAATACTGCTACTTCTCGTGCTGCTTACTTGGAAAATGTCTCCAAATTTCAATGAGAAGTAAGAATCCTTCATAACATGAGACATATGCGATCATCTCCATTGTCAACTCAAACCTACAAAAAATAGCTGTTGGGACTGACATTAAAATCTTTGCTTTCAAATCATGAAAATAATACCCGATTCTGAAAGAAGTCTCTTTCCTCACTATCTACACAGCCATTTTAGTTCGAAGCGATCTAGCATCTCCTCAGTTCTGGAGCGGCCTGACTTATCCACATCATATTTTCACCAAATTTCGCCACAAAAAGAGCTCACATGAGTTAAATCAGCAAGACTATAAAAAACATACTTCATCAATTGGTAAGCGTGATGCAAATTCAATGTGTATTTGAGCATGCATCTCCAGGGGTATATGCTATACAGAAATGACGCTATCGACATACCTACAAATACGTTACCGGGCATCATTTCATCCCTACTAAGGGGCTCATGGGGAACAAACAAACCGACGCCAGCCGGTACTTACCTAGCCTGTCTCCTAAGCGCTACGAAAGGCCAGGTCATGTTAATCAGCGCTTGCAGGGAAAAGAAATTCACAAAGGTAACGCAAAAGATGAGAACAGAAAACGCTATTCATATATTGACAGAGCGCCCACGTGTCTTTAAGAGACAGACAGCTACCTAATTGTTGCAAGTTCGGCTTATAAATCACTGGAAGCAAGGTAACCACCAAACACGGAGATTCTCCGCCACAACTTCCATCAAGCCTTGGCTGATCCAGCTCGAATCTAGCGCTTAGAGATTTCCAAGTATCTGAAGAGAATTGTTAGAAGCTGCCGGAAATCCCACTTCCACACTATGGCACTCCATTACAAAAAAAAAACTCAAAAGTAAATGGATGCAATGAGCAGTTGAGTGAGGGAACAAAATCTCACCTAGAGACAAACTCCTTTTCGATATCCCATCGCACAGGAAAAATCCGCCTCCCAGAGAAGCATCAATCAGGCACTTAAGCGCATTCAAAGCATCATTCAACATTCGCCTAAAGGCTATTTCCTAAAGGCTATTTTTAAAGTTAACTGTGAGTGCTTCTTAACGTAAACAGGAAAGCTGACAGCAGAGCTAGAAATGAGGAAGCTGAAACTGTTAAACTATCAAAGACCAAAAAAACTGACCACTAATTTACAAACTTCTAAATTAGACTCTCTTGAGTTGGCTAGACAAGTGGTCCTCATAGCATCTAGGAAAACATGAGCGCGATGAAGGGCATCCTCCTAAAACAAGTGCATAGTTAATTAGAAAATATGTTAGATGTCAAACCATTTTACAAATATCGAGTTTTTTTTCGAAAAAAGAGATATAGTAGCGTACAAAATGAAAACGTACGCTAGGAAGAGGAACTTTCTGCAAATGACGAGCCCCTTTTCCAATCGTTCCAGAGTGAGCCAGTTGGTTTGGCCGTTTGCCAAGAGGCATGGATTGGATCGCATCCAGGAAGGATTCTTTCTGAGAAAAAAACATAATGCGGGCTCCAGATAAGCTCAGAAAAAGCCGAAGAGAAAGTATCTAACCGCTAACAAACCTGAGCATCTTCAATTTCAAGAAGTTTACTGGCTCGCTCTGCCGATTCGTATTTCCATGCAACAAGGTCATCAGAATCACCAAATAGAGGCCTTGGCATCCTAGAAATAATAGCGATTCATGAAGGTGACTCTATCACATAACATCGCTTTAGCCGCAAATTACTGAACATGAAATGCGAGAAAGATTACTTGGATGCAGCATGTAAGGAACGAGACAAGGAAGAGTTTGTGATATCCTCGCAAGAGAGGGCTGAACTGTTGGTACATGAAATTGAAGATAGTCGTGCGATACTCTTCAAATACAGAGATTGCCATGTCGTGCTCTGAAATGGAGAGGAAGTGAATTCGTTTCAATTCCCGTTATGAAGAAAAATTTGATGCACATCACGGTGCTAGATAACAATGAGAAGTTTACGCACCACGACTGACAATCGACAAAGCTATTCGCTGTAAAGAAGCGAGTTGGATCATCAACTTGTAAGCATAGCGAATTCGCATCTTCACCAGACGATGCTGCAAGATAAGTAAAATCGGAAGGATGACGGTATACATCACCGGAAGAAATTCACAACCAAAGTACTGCAGAGTGTATCGGTCTGTTAAGAGCTTAGAAACCATACCACGACAATTGCGGAAAACTCGGGAAAAATGGGACACA